CCGTTAAATATGAGTGTCTTAACTCAACGTTGCAACTGGATCTGTTCAGCGCAGTGGCAGCTAATTTACATTTTAAGATTTGCTTCTTTTATCGAATGAATCTTGCAGCCTGTGTTGGAAATCAAGTGTGGCTACCATCCATCACTTGCTGCGATCGCAGCATCGAGCACCACTTTCACGTATATTCCAAACAGCGTTGAAATTGGTGGAAATGGCCCTTCTACTATTCTACTGACCGGACCAAATATGGGCGGTAAATCAACTTTGATGCGGCAAGTTGGCGTGCTCGTGGTACTTGCTCAAATAGTAAGCAGCTTTGTATATAGTTGCTATTGATTATAATTTTATATTTAAAAAAAATAATTGGCCAGCTCAGTAGGTGCATTTTTTGCACGGTTTCCCGCAGGTTTTTGTCGCTAACGGCACTGTTTTTCCGGTAGATATGTCTAGCTAAAGGGATTGAGACTGGCCACCATAACGGTGAAAAAACATTCCCTTACAGTTTTAGCTTTCTGGCTTTTCTTGTTTCCGAGTTAGCAATTTACCAGCAAAAAATTTTCACAAGCTCGTACTTGGGAACCATGCACACTGGGGAGCTAGCTTTGAACTCATTAAGCCCTGCTTGGGCGAAGAACACGCTCTTGAAATTTCAGCTTTCTAGCTTCTCTGGTTCCCGAGTTAGCAACTTGCCGGCAAAAGCATAGAAACTACGTGAACAAAAATGTTTATTTTGGGTATAGGGGTACTTGCATGTAAATTAAGTTCCCAAAGTTTCGGCCTTGTAGCTTTTACAGGTCTCGAGCTGAAAAATCGGTACTGACGCATATACAGATACGCGCACATACACTCATACATATAGACAATCCCTCGACAATATGCGTTTTTGCACTGCTTAGATGCAAAAATCGCATAATAATTAGAAAGCTCATATTCTGGTTGACCAGCTGTGGAATTGTTAACTTTTCGAGTGCTTTTGGTTAGTGCTATATCATCCGGTGATCAGCCTGCCAGTTATCCCAACCTGAGGCGTCTTTGGTGTGTGTGTTGGGCATCATCACCTTATCCTCGACGCAGTGAGGTAACATATTGACTGGAAAAAACAGAAGGAAAATGTCGAATACTAGGTATTTATTACTTTCACTCAGTGATTGAATGTTTTTATTAGGTAATTGTATAATTGCTATTTCATAACTGTATAAATCTAGCATTCAAAAACATGGTGAGCAAGCAGTCTTGTATCATAATTTTGCAGGGGAGTTTTGTGCCGGCGGAAGAGATGAGATTATCACCAGTGGATCGGATTTTTACGAGGATGGGTGCCGGCGATCGGATCATTGCAGGTTACTCTTAATTTCTGTCGCTTAGACACCTAGACTTCACCATCTTTCTTTTATAAGTATTTCAACGTTTTTTCATTGGTATAAGTTTAGGCCAGTCGACGTTCTACGTTGAATTGAATGAAACGAATGCTATTTTGAGGAACGCAACCAAGCATTCACTTGTAATAATGGATGAGCTCGGCCGAGGCACAAGGTTTTTTTTTTTCTTCGAATGCTGCATTCCACAGTTTGTGATATTTTACGCAAATTTGGCTTGTCTTATGGGGAGGGGCCGCTTTTTCTCTCATTTTTGCTTTAGGATGTGGCGATTACATTATTAAAAAGTAGGAGAGTTTCATTTTATGGCTCAAATTTTAGTCGAAAAGACGTATGATTTTACTAAAATCGATCAGGAATTGCCTAATAAAGGGGCAGTAAAATGGCTTGGAAGTATTAATTGGTTTCAGTATTGTAATCTAGATTCAGCACTTCGGTGTGAGGAAAAATATCGTGGCCAGGCAGTCGGTATGCAAAAATAAGAGTGTTACCATCAACGAGTTGCGGCTTTCAGCGTTCACGTTATTGTTGATTCCGAGTCTATGACTTTAACTAAATTCTGTGTAGAATTATAAGTGGATCCTTTCAAAGCAGTAGCGGTCCCTTCAGTGGCTGCTTATAGCTACTGTTCGCTTATAAGTTGATGGCATTGCTATTTGGTGTTGGATTTGTTTTGTTTTGCTTTTTTTTACATTTGAGGATTACTGAGGACATTTTCTAGCACGTACGATGGGACAGCAATAGCATACGCAGTGTTGATGGATGTGGCAACGCGATTGCGCTGTCGTGCTTTCTTCTCCACCCATTATCATAGCTTATGTAAAGCTGTGGAAACTGTTAGCAACATCAGAGCTGCTCATATGGTGAGCTTTTCAACGATTCTTTATTAAATCATTGTGCAGAATCAGAGTATTGAGCAGATGATCGACTGAATAGTAAACATCTAAGTGCTTTGCCCATGGCATCTAAGCATTGCCATGCGGAATCTTGAAATACGGGCAGTTTGACTGTACTAATTGAGATGGCTGTTCTATTATAGTTTTGAAATAACAATAAAAATCGAAGTAAGAATAAGATAGTAATAAAGATATTGAAAAACAAAATCATAAAAATGATAAAATTATCGAAACAAATTTGCTGCTGAACAAATCGTTTTATCCACTTTTTTAAATTATTTGCTGTTTACACAGCGTGATCGATCGAAACTTGCGTTTTCAACATTTTTTCTGTTGAAATGGTTCGTTCCAGAAGCGATAATAGTTGTACTTTGTTTATACTCAATTCGAAGTACTATGTTTTTTTGCGATTCACAAAAGTTGGAGTGTAAAATGTAAAGTATGACCTAGTATCCTTGGAAGTGCTTCAACGGTGTCAGTTACTTCAGACACAAAGATATTTGTTCCTTTTTAATCCGTTTGTTTGAAAAAAAAAAAACTTTTTTTTTAGGCTTGCATGGTGGAAAATGAAAATGCCGAAGATCCAACAATGGAAAATGTCACATTCTTGTACACACTGGTGGACGGTGTATGCCCAAAATCGTACGGATTCTTTGCTGCGAAAATTTCTGGCCTTAGAAAAGAGGTAATGCAATTTTTGTTCAACGACTTTGCACTTTTTCCAATTTCATTTATTTCCTGTTTTATCCTGAAAAAATGTTTTTTAATTTCATTTTGAATAAGCCTTGTTTTGAGCTGAATTTGAGCGAAATTTGAATGAAATTCCTTCATGCTTCCATTATTGATTTTGAAGGTTGTTCGAGCTGCTTTTGCTGCTTCGCGGCGCCTTGATTCTGCGAAAACAGCGAAAGAACGATGGGAGAAATTACGTGAAGCTGCACAGAATGAGAAATATAGTGTTGCACAGCTCAGAGAAATGATCAATTCTGTGTTGGTTTCTTCCTGAAACAAAACCTGATGTTGATATTTTATGGCCCACTGAGGGCCGCTTTGTGAGGATCTTTTAATGTTTCACGATGTAGTGTCAGTGCTGTAAATGTTTGTTTTTGCATATTTTTTTTTCTGAACATTTTACGGGGACCCCCTCAATACGCAGAAGTATTCGAAATTAATCCGATTGATAGCAAGTGCCAAGAACAACCACACGCTGGCTGGGATATTAATGGCTTTTCCCGGAAGATTTCAGAAAAGCAAGTTAATGCCGAGCTCCGATTCGGTATTCGTTGGTAGTGGCCTATACCTAAAGAAATAAAGTAAAAAAAGAGAGAAAAGTTATTTCACTTGCAGAATTTGTGGGATCGTGCCCTGGATTTGCATGAGCGGAACTCTACTTGCCATTGCTCCAAACCCCGTAACGGGTCCTGATTTACGGTATTTGTTGGGCCATGTTTTTGTTTTTGAGCTGTTTTTTTTTATTTGGGCAGAAAATTTTTTGGCTTTAATCCCAAAAATTCATTTTTAGATGGAATTTTTATTTGTACGAATTTACATCTTTTCCTCTGCTGGTATTTGTTACGAGACAACTTTTTTCTCGTTTTTTGTCTCCATGTTAGGGCGGTGTGAGTTTGTTTTGCATTTCACAAATTTCAGGCGCATCTTCATATATATAGTTTGTCTATGCATTATCAATTTATAGTTAACTCACTGATAAATAAGCTTTTTTTTTTTTGAAAGGTTCTAGCCAAAAAACTCTCGAGTTTTTGATTTAGCTTATTTGGAAGATTTTTCCGAATTGCTGATTTGGCTTTGCAAAATTTTCTTGTGCTTTTTTTCGCAGTTTTTTTTCGGATTTGACTCTTACGAAGTTTCTCCCGAGGCCTCTTATGTCATTTCGGCTCCTTGAGTAATTGTACACCTTTATCGCAGTAAGCTTAACTAACATTAGTCTCGTAAGCCCTGGGCTTACCTTGTGCAGCTGACTAACCCCACAAAGGGGTAAATATGGGCCCTTCCATTTCGCAAGCGGTCTTTTTCAGGTTTTCTTGTAAAATCTCATTACATTTGTTCGCTTTATTCTTTTCTTCTCATCGTTGCAGGATAGTCAGCCTGGTTATTATTCTTGACGCAGGTCTCTGTTACAATTACGTGTGTTTTTAGGAATTTTCCTTTAATCTCTGCTGAAAAGTTTTGACTTTGG